GCAATGATACTAATCTTACGTGTTAGACTTTTAGAATTTTTTTTTCGCCCGTTTGATATGATTTTCGTTTCTATTGCTTTTCTTTGACTTTGATTAACCTTTGTATTCTTTTCTATGTTGTCCTTGTTTTTCAAGTGCACATATAAACGTTTGTTTTCTCAAAGAATAAATAGAGAGAGAAGAAAACACATCTTAACTGTGTTCATAGGTCTTCGCGAACACGAACTCTAGCATCATCCTTGATATTTATCATGTAGTCGTTTATTTGCGTGAAAATCAGAAACTGCGTCATTTTTGAATATTGAAAAACGTATTCAAGCTATTGAAATTTCAAAGAAAGTTCTAGAACCTTCGAAGCCTTGTTATCGATGTCGTTTAGTGCCTTTAATTCTGATTGCTAAGGTCTGTAATATGGAGAAGGATGGGAAGTCCCAAAACTTCAATTTAAAAGTTACACTCACTGTTTTCTTCGAAAATCGATGTTTCACAAAAGTCCTAGTCGTCAACTAAATAAACAAAAACAAACGAGCATTGAAGATTTCTTCAGAAGTGATACGAATAAGCTCTGGAATAGTTTTTTCTAGACCCAAAACCAAAAAAACGTGGTCTCGCACATCTCAATTATTTACACATAATTGAACTCGTTGAAGTCGTTTATCGAAAGTTATTTTTTTTTTAGTTACCATGGTTAATAGAGTTAATGACCTTGGTTACAGTACGGTGCAAGAATTGTGAGTTGTTTTGATCAATGAGGTTCTGTTTGATGAGATCAAATACTTGCAAATCACATAGCTCCAGATCTGGAGAATTTGATTGCTGTCGAATAGGTTTGATATCTTCAGATTCGAGGCAGTTTGAAGCATGCTTATGCACATGTAATTTGACTTTGTTATGAGGAAACCATTATGATATGCATATCAGATGTTGCCTCCATTATAGGTTGTTCACAATACGTGATTAATCTTCAATATCTTCTCACCTTTTTCGTGAACTTATTTTGGCCTTTTGACAACACTATTATAAAATATAGCTTCATCGCCAATAACAGAATATAATTCATCATGAATTGATTTTAGTTGAATGTGAAGTGCAGTACACACTCTAATATAGAAACAAATTTTTTTCTTATTTATTTAAAAAGTAAGGTTGAATAGTTTTAACCGAAATTTTTTATATGATAGTATCACTTGACTAATATTGTTATAATACCAACATATCAAGCACAATTAGTACGACATATATATCCCAGGTCCAATAAAACGGCGTCGTAAACGGCCTGAAACGGCTATAAAACGGCGATTAACGATGTAAAACGTCGATAAACGGCACCGTAATCCGTCATACCAGATTACGGAAGCAAAACCGGAAAAAAACGACCGCCGTTTTCTAGCGATAGACGGTGGTCGTAATACGGTATGACGGATTGCGGCGAAATAAGGCCAAAATTACTGCAGTAATTCGCCGTTTTATAGTCGTTTCAGGCCGGATACGACGCCGTTTCCGACGGCCGGAATGATCCGCCTGGGATAGGAACAAGATTTTTTCTCCAGCATTCTGTACTTTGTTATAATATGACTCTCGAAACTTTTTGTATATCCTAAGTATTTTTTCTTAAGATTCGCAAATGATTGTGTATTACAATGATTGGAGAATGTTAGTATTAATTTAACACTGGACGTAAAATGAGGATCAATGAATCATATTCTATAAAATACTTCGACTATATGAGAAAATCTTGAAAAGAGAGTCAGAAAGATATTTCGACCCATTCGATCTAATCAATCTTACCTAAATGAATCGTTTTTCGTACATTGAAAAAGAAAACATATATGATTCTCTTTTCAAATGAATCGATTCTTGAATATATTCAGACTGCTAGTGCTTATGATTATTTTATAAGAAAAATATTTTTCATAAAAATAAATCTATTTTTTTTTTGCTTTCATACATACTGATTCAAAGATAGATTACATCATGTGAATAAGATTCTTCTGGAACTATTCCTATTCGACCAACTAAATCAGCTGCTAAATTTCGATACAATACTTCCATATAGATTTGGTGTAATAAGTATATCAAATTGTTGTGGTTTTGAAAATATCTAATTGCATACATCTATTATCAACAATCATTGTATCTAATTGAATATTTGAATATAACGCTACTTTTTCTCACGATATGATTTAAGAAAAAGATCATCAACAAATTTCTTTAACATAGACAAAAGAAATATTAACAATACAATAATTATAAAACAAACATTATATTTGCTTTATCTACAGCAATAATGTTTTTTCGATCAAAATTTTATAGAAAAATCAAATGCAAATTTAGCTATATGTCGAATGTTTTCGTAGATTGTTATTTTAAGAAGATGCGACAACATCATATACGAACTAAGATAGATAAAACAAAAGAATATAAAAAATTTTTATTCTTATTCATTTTTACTTCATGTTCATGTGTACTATATTCTCTTTCACTTTGTTCTCTTATTACAATAAAATCAATATTTCGACGATGAAAATTAAGTTCCAGTACAATTCTTATTCGAATAACATTAGCAAATAGATCTAATACTTGTCTATAATAATTGAAAAGCCTAATATTTTTATCAAAGGTGATATCTCTTAACAAACTGAATCTTCATATTTAATGGCATCAGATCATCACTTTCATTAATAGTTTTAATCATACAAGAAGGACATAAATCAATAGCTATTATATAGTACCTCTGATAAATAACTTTAGTCTCTAGCGTTTATATAATACATATAGGGTAAGCTATTTATCATTAGAATGTCTAGAAAAAGAAATTCAAAATATCTCGCTTGGAGATTGAATTATTAAAAAATGAAATAGAATTTCTTATAATTCATTTTTATTTTAGTTTAATCTTGCAAGTAATTCAATAAATTTGAATGACACACATATAGCATTAATTCTAGTTGAACACTGTTACTAGCTATAAGAGTAATATGATATTTATGAGATTTACTTATTTTCTTTGCAATATTCTAATAAGAAAACTTATTTTCAAAATATTATGTTTAATATAAATACTTGCTATTATTAATGAAAAAAATCTCATAGAT